ATCTAAAGCTGCTTCCGCATGAGTTCGATTCCCGCCTGCCCCGGAAGTGACCACATGGCGTGGCAGACCTCTCCTGACCCGCCCGCTGCTCCCCTTAGCAGTGTACTTCGTCCATCTGCCTGTTCTGTTCCCCACTCTATCTCTGGTGAAGCCTCTCACTGCCCCTGAGCCTCTGGCCTGCACCCCAGTTCTGTATGCACAAATAAATAAATCTTTAAAAAGAAAAAAAAATGTAACATCTCATTTAAACTGATTATTCTTTGTGGTACAGCTAGATAGAAAATCCTAATATTTTCTGGTTTTGGACACTAGCTCAACTCTAATTTTTTGGAATAGATTATTTATATTTAATTCTAGGAGAAATTACCTTTCCTCAGGTATAAGGAAATTATAATCGCCTGATAATGCAGAAAACCAGATTGCACTGAGATTGGCAGTTATATCGTTTTGGCTATATAAAGGTTTGAAAGAATACTTTTATCTAAACAGCTGCATCTCAAGTATAAAGTTGTGTACTGGTGGACAGTCACCATCAACATCCAGAAAGATAAAATTGAAGATAAAACAACTGGGAGGTACTTTGGGGAGGCAAAATTTCACTTAAATATCCTAGAATTAAGTAGTAGGTGGTATGATTTTAACTTAGACAAAAGATCATTTTGGGTGATACTGATAAATTCATCCTTGTCTCTGGCTATATAGCTCTTCCAGCCTTTATAGGTGAATAGAAAACAAAGTAGTTTGAAACTTCCTTCAGATTAGATTCTTAGGAACTGTGGACATGCTTATGATAAAGAAGTTGATCTGGGATACCACCAGTCTGCACTGAGATTCATGCTTGTGTTTCTGTATTTCTTGTTGCAGGGAGAGGAAGAGTTCGATATGCCCCAGCCGCCACATGGCCACGTTTTACATCGCCACATGAGAACAATCCGGGAGGTTCGCACACTTGTCACTCGTGTCATCACAGATGTGTATTATGTGGATGGAACAGAAGTAGAAAGAAAAGTCACTGAGGTAATGTATGCTCTGGATCTGTGTGGCAAATTTCTTTTGATAGAAAAATTACTGTAGCTCTCTGCCTGTGGCACCTCCCCACCTTTACCCCGTTGCCACTTTTACTGTGTAATCAGTTACTGAAGACTGTGTTCCTTCATCTTTTTGTTAGGAAAATATTGTGCCTTTTCAACCATGGGTTTGCTGTATGCCCTTTGGCTGCTTATTTAACTAGTCTCATCATGTTTACCTTTTCTGTAAAGATAAGACTGGTAAATTTCATTCATATATAAATAGAGATTTTATGTATGTAGTGTTTGGGAACCCGAATGAAGTTTAGCTTAGCTGCATGTTTTCTCTCATTTTCTCATGTTTTCATATTTACTCATTGTGTTCTTTCTTGGTCTTCATTTATTTGTGGTTATGTATGAACCTGTTGGTAAGAGACATACCTTTACTTTTTCATTGGCTCCATCATGGAGTCATGTCCAGTGTCAACACAGTATTGGTATTTATTGATATTTACATTGGACAATATCAATTTTTAAAAAAGACATTTATGAATACAGAGCTGTGGTACAGGCCAGAGGTATGGGGGAAGGGAAGTGAGAGGATTCACCAGCGACAGAGGGGGGGGAACAGAACAGGCAGATGTACTGAAATATACTGCTGAGGGGAGCAGTGGGCAGGTCAGGAGAGGTCTGTGCCATGTGGGTCACCTCCCTGGCCAGGGATTGAACTTGAGCTGCAGTGGCTTGATAGCTTCATAGTGCTGTGTTTGTTTGTTTTTTTTTTTAAAGATTTATTTATTTATGCATAGAGAACTGGGGTACAGGCCAGAGACTCAGGGGCTGCGAGAGGCTTCACCAGAGACAGAGTGGGGAGCAGAACAGGCAGATCTACGAAGTACACTGCTGAGGGGAGCAGCAGGCGGGTCAGGAGAGGTCTGCTACGCCATGTGGTCACCTCCGGGGCAGGCGGCAGGCCAGGCGGAAATCGAACTCATGCGAGAGTGGCTTTAGCTTCTCAATGCTGTGCTTTAACCCGCTGCATGCAGCACCAGGGAGGGTCAGTGCTGTGTTTTAACCCATTGCGTCACCAGGAGGGGCCCAATATCATGTAGATTTTATTAGATTTAATCCTGGCTAAGATAGATTCTATAGAATTAAAGATCCTGACACTTTTCTTGGTATATAAATATCTGGGAATCATTTTATTAATTGATTAAAGACACAACTATTTGTTTCATTCTACCATATAGCCACATAGGAAGTGGTATTCGGAAAGAAACTGTGGTGTATACTTTTATAAGGTGGGATGTATTATTAAGGTTCATTAATGGGCCATGGCAGGCCTTATATCAGAAAACATTTGACATTAGTTTGAACACTTGTCTTGTATTCTTATTGTACACCAAATCCCAGAAAAATATCTTTGAAATGTTGATTTATCTTGAGTTTGATATTTTATTTTCAGTGTTATTGCCACTTTGGAATTAAATTATAAATTTAGCAACTTAGAAATTTTCTCTTGGAAAATAAATTTCTGATTATTGTAGTGACAAGTACTATAGTAAGACATAATACTTTATTTAATATTTCATATGATGCTTTCTAAAGTATATTTCTGGAAATACCAGGACTCAGGGGAGGAAAGTGTTCCGTGGTCAAAAATAAGTTTGAGAACCACCAAGTGCTCTAAAGCCCTCCCTCCCAAATGAAAATTCACAGTATGTGTTACATTAAAGGCTCTATGAAGTCTTGTAGTAAAAATGTCTAGTATTTATTTTACATAGCGGCTGTGATTTTTTTTTTTAAGATTTATTTATTTATGCATATAGAGCTGAGGTACAGGCCAGAGGTGTGGGGATGAGAGGATTCACCAGAGATAGAGTGGGGAGCAGAACAGGCAGATTGACTGAAATACACTGCTGACAGGAACAGTGGGTGGGTGAGGAGAGTTCTGTCACGCCACGTGGGTCATCTACCTGGCTGGGGATTGAACTTATGCTGCAGTGACTGCAGATAGGTTCTTAGTGCTGTGTGTTAACCCGTTGTGCCACCAGGGAGGGCCCTATTTTATTATTTAATAGCAGTACTTCCTAAACTTGTTACAGGGCAGGAGAGGGAAGTAACTGAACCCCCAAACCTGCCTGCTCTAAATAGGCTCTGCCATCTGCCGCATCAAGACAAAACATATAAGACCTTTCATGGAAGGGAACTTTAAAACAACTAGTGTGTAATTCAGAAAAGACAAAGAATGTAGTTTCTAAATCAGACATTTGCATGACCCATCCCCTTGTGAGTAAAATTCTACCCAAAAGGGATTGGCTCAAAGGAAGGCCTGAAAGCCCACCACAATCTAAAGCACCTTCTGGTGGGGGCCCATAGAAAAGTGTCAGAAATGGTCAGACAAGTCTGGGAGGAAAAGAGCAAAATCAAAATCAAGATAAACATTGCCTTAGTCAGCCTCCCCACAGGTCTTTCACCCACATCTGTTTCAATCAGCCCAGTACCAAAAAGAAGCAAGCAGTTTCTTCAAATGTCTCTCTGCTCCATGTCCCTTCTCCAGGTCACCTTCTGGCTCTCCATCTGCTTCCTTCCTTTTCAGTCCCCTCTGTAGATTCTTCTCCTCCCTGCTCAACTCCTCCCTCCTGGGTTGGACAGGGAACCTGGAACCTCCCCTTTCCTGGGACCACCCTGTTATAAACTGACTTGACCAGTGACCTTTTTTTTTTTTTTTTAAAGATTTATTTATTTGTACACACAGAACTGGGGTACAGGCCAGAGGCTCAGGGGTGGCAAGAAGCTTCACCAGAGACAGAGTGGGGAACAGAACAGGCAGATCGACAAAGTACACTGCTGAGGGGAACAGCGGGCGGGTTAGGAGAGGTCTGCCACACCATGCGGAAGTGGCTTAAGCTTCTTTGTGCTGTGCTTTAACCTGCTGCGCCACCAGGGAGGGCCACCAGTGACCATTTTTTTTAAAAGTAATATTTATTACTCTTCTCTGGGACATAGTTTGGAAAACTCTGCCATAATTGAATAAATAGTAAATGACATTGAGCACTAACTGAATGCCAGGCACTGTTCTAAGGATTGTAAGTTAATTTTCACAACTATGCCATGAGGTAGATAACTATTTTCATTTTGCAGATGAAGCAAAAGAGGCATAGCAAGTTAAAATAACTTCCTTAAGATTACATAGCTAATCAACAGGAACTAGAATTCAACCTACGCAGTGTAGCCCCAGAACCTGCATCCCTAATTACTCCAAGATGTATCCTTTCAAGAGTAAATCCTGTGTGCCAGAAGAAAGGCACACAGCATAGTTCAGAGAAGGAAGAAATTCATCCGTGGGGAATTTTGATGCCTGTCTTTCTGGATGAGGGCTAGAAAGCATTTGAGTTCAACATCGACAGTTTTGGGATATAGGGAAAAAGGCATTACAGATGGCAAGACTGGTGAGCAGAGAGGCAGAAAGACCGTGTAAGTGGGACCTGTCTAGGTGGTGGGCAGCATGGAGACATGTGAGATGTCAGAGGCCTCGGGAAACTGTTTCCTCGTATCTTATTTATCATCTTTTAAAGATTTTTATGCATCTGTTTACCAGTGAATTCTTTTTTACTATCTTCTTAATTTCATGGCAGTGAGACTATAAAAATTAAAAGACAGGCCTGTTCTCAAGGAACTTACACTTGACATGCACCACGTGTATCAGTTGCAGTGAGGCATGAATGAGAAGGTGAGTCAGAAACTGAACAGAGCGGCTGAGCTGCCCTGGAGAAGATTGCGAGTCCTCGCAGATTCAAGGCCGGGAAGGAGACAGTGAAGCACTTAGCCTAGAAGGGGAGGGGGCAACATGAAAAGCTGCATTTGTAGGCTGTATGGCCTGCTTAGTGACTGTTTACAAATCCAATCCAGAATGGGAAGGTGGGACTGGTGAGAGAAAATGCTTTCAAGATTGGTAAGGGCCAAGAGCTTACTACTTTGTATAATAGAAAAGAATGTAGATTTTTATCTTCTGTGTTTGTCTTTGAAGAATTTGGGAGAAAGGAGAGACAGGCTCAGATGTGCATGTTAGAGAGCTTAGATAGGCAGCATTGCAGTAGAATTGAAGTGGGTTGAGCACAGAGGCATAGTTTAGTCATAGTTTAGAGGTGATATGTATCACATTAGCATGGAGGCAGAAGGGCTTGAGAGGAAAGAAATACAGTAGTTCCCTTTTTCGGGGATATGTCCCAAGAACCCCAGTGGATGCCTGAAACTGCGGAGAGTATGTATGCTGTTTTTCCCTTTGTAGACATAACTATCATAAAGGTTAATTTATAAATTAAGGAAGGGATTGACAACAAAAAATATAATACGGTGGAACAGTTACACTGTAATAAAACTTAAGTGAATATGGTCAGTCTCTCATAAATAGTCTTATTGGACATCATAATTTCAGACCACAGTTGGTCATGGATAATAAACTGTAGAAAGTGAAAGCATCTGCATGAAATATATAAGGGTGAAATTAATAGACTGAGTGAATTGCTGATGGTGGGGATTTGGGAAAGCAAGGAATCTGATACAGTGCCTGAGCTTTTTGCTTGTGCAACTGGATAGATGGTGGGCCCATATGCTAATAGGGAATATAAATAGCACATTGGCTTGAGAAAATAGGTCTTTCCTTCAGTAACTGTTTCCTGAGGCCTCTTTTGTGGCAGGCACTTTGTTAGACTGCCAGGATATGACCAGGAAAAATAATGGTTACAATCTCTATCTTATTGGCTTCTGTAGACTAGCAGAGGAGACATACAGAACAAATAAGCAAGTATGTTAAAAATATCCTAACAGGCCAATTTTAAGCCTGGGTCATTATAAGAAGAACTACCTTGATTGCCAGACAGTTGCAAAAGCCAGTATAGCTGTTGACTGTTCTTTGGGCCAATTTTTCAACTAAGACACAGCGTGAAGGCCCACCTCTTAGGCAAGTCTTACCCCTGCACTTTTGCCACAGTCAAGAAAAGGAATTGGTATAAATTTTGGCTCACAGATACATGTTTTAGTCAGTGACTTTGGCAGGTTATGTTGACTTGAGTCCAGCTAGAGCAAGCAAGCTGGACCGTTAGAAGTTAGACAATGGCATGGTAACGATCGAGATTCTGGAAGTGGTGCAATTTCTGGTAATGGTCCTGGAAACAGATGGCTGAGGTAGAGGAGAAAGGAGTTAATGGTGATAATTAGATCAGGACACTTGGAGTCATGTGGATGGGGCAGAAAGTGATGACAGAAGTGGGAATGGGGAAGAGAGAGAGAGACAGATCCCACAGTTGAAAGTCTTCATGGATAAGAGCGAGCTATTAGTGAGTGACAACAAGGATTGGGCGAGAGGAAAGTTTGAAAATCAAGTAGTGGTTTGGTAGGAGCAAGAAGCGGTGAAAGAAAATAATCTATTAATATTAGGCAGTGGTAGCAAGGAGGCCTCTCATTTCAAACTCTTATTCAGGTTCATTTGAGAAAAAGCAGCCTCTCCTAGAGAGATCTGCAGAGAATGTGAAATGTGGGATATCTGATTCATTCATTGAAGGCAAAGAAATGGGGAGAGGTTGACAGATTGGATGGGTTAAATTTCAGGTGTCTGATTCATCCAAGGGAAGCATTTAGTAGGTTTGTATATCATTGAGTTTGGAGCTGAGTCATAATTGCATTATTGGTAGACAGGCAGGGATGATTCTAGTAAGATTGGCCGGGGGAGCAGAGAGGAGTGAAAAAAGAAACAAGAAAACAGAATCCTGGGACATAGCAGTTTTAAAGGAATAGCTAGAGGAAGAGGACCCCCCCCCCCCCAAGCATGGCTGGAAGTATCTAAGAACAGCAAAATGAAAGGAAGACATTTTACAGGTTTTTTTCTTTCTTTTTAAGGTTTATTTATTTATGCACATAGAACTGGAGTACAGGCCAGAGGTACAGGAGCAGTGAGCAGATTCACCAGAGACAGAGTGGGGAGCAGAACAGACAAATGAAGTAGACTGCTGAGGGGAGCAGTGAGTGAATCACAAGAGGTCTGCCAGGCTATGTGGGTCACTTCCCTGGCTGGGGATCGAACTTGTGCTGAGGTGGCTGCAGCTAGCTTCAGAATGCTGTGTTTTAACCCCTTGTGCCACAGGGGTTAAATAGGGAGTGCCTATTGTATAGGTTTTAGAGGGAGAGTTTCAAGAAGGGAGTAGTACAAAACAACCATTTAAGCATCTTGAGCATTATTTAAATATGTATTGCAGATTCCCCAGAGGGATTGTAAACTCTTCTGTGGGAACAGTCTACCTTAAACTTCCACATAAACTTTTGACACTTAGCATATTGCATGAATGGTCTAGAACAAGAAGGCAAATGTGTAGTACCTGTGCTATAATTTCTCAGCCCTGTGTCCACAGATGATATTCCTGATTAGTCCTAAAGTTAAAATTTAGTCTGAGAAAGCTTAAAATAGGTTCAGTCAGCTACTGCCAGTCCATCAGAGTTTGTGTCTGTATGAAATACCTCAGTGTGACATCCTGTCCTCTATAGATATGAAAAATGGAATGTGTTGATTTTAACCTTTTAGTCTTCATTTTTCTAAACAGGAGCTATGGTTATATATAGTCTATAATTTTTCTTTGAGCACTTGTTGAAAGGTAATTAAAATACTGAATCTCAAGCATTTAATACTATCTACTAGTAGTCAGATACCCAGGAAGACACCTAACCACTCATTTCCTCCTCTAATCCACCTTCCTCCTCAGCAGTCTTCTCTCAGACAGAAATTACTGCTGTCTTCAGGGTTAGAATCCTTGCTGGTTTCTCAATAGCCAGAGTTGTGAACTTGTCTCCCAAAAAAAAAAAGATAATTTAGTTCACGATAGAAGTCGCTTTTTATTCAGTCTAAGTACCACCTTTATTTTTTTCTTGAGATACAGTATATTCTGAGTAGAATGCACTGTTCATAAATGTTCAGTTCCAGTGACATTTACACTTGTATGTACCCACTGCTTAGAACAAGATAGAGAAATTTCTACTACTCTGGAAAATTTCCTCCTGAGTCCGACTGTTCTAAATCTTTTTTTCTTTTTTTTGACTTGCTATCTCTAGCATTTTCCAACCAACACCTTAACATTATGCTACTATGGCTGCTTTCAGCTCTTGTATCCATTTCTTTCTTGCAGGAAACTGAAGAGCCAATTGTAGAGTGTCAGGAGTGTGAAACTGAAGTTTCCCCTTCACAGACTGGGGGCTCCTCAGGCGACCTGGGGGATATCAGCTCCTTCTCCTCCAAGGCATCCAGCTTACACCGCACGTCGAGTGGGACAAGTCTGTCAGCCATGCACAGCAGTGGCAGCTCAGGGAGAGGAGGAGCCGGAACATTCAAAGGGAAAACCAGCGGGACAGAACCCGCAGATTTTGCCTTGCCCAGCTCCCGAGGAGGCCCAGGAAAACTGAGGTGCAGACAGGGTCTCCAGAGAGAGAGCAACAGCAGGGGAAGGGTTGCTGACATTTTAATATCACAGGAAAAGGGGAGTAATGGGAACCCCCCCGCCCCCATCCTCATCTGGGATGAATCAACTCCTCTTCCTCCCCTTTTGTTCCTCTCCTGTTTGCAGCTTGCATGAGAGTTCGGGTAGAACCTGGTGTGAGCTAGACTCCACTGGGAAAGAACTCTCAGAAAATATTGAAAAACAGCTGGGGTACTTTGAGGATGCTGGGACAAGCTCCTGCCACTCCCATTTTCTGCAGTCTCTCTTGGTTGGAGAGTTTAAAGTGGTGGTCCCAGGTTGACACATCCCCTAGCTTTTTGTTATCCTTTGCAGGTGTTTAGAGCCTGAAGTTGAAGAAACGGCAGGGCAGAGATGGGTGTGCTGTTTCCGACAGCAGCCGTAGGAAGTTTTGTTAGGAGGGAGTAGACACACGGAGGGGAGGGTGTCCTTTACTGTTGTCCTGTACTCCCCACTCCCGACTGATAGTGATGGGGGTGTATGGACCAACTTCCTGTTGCCATACACATGTTGACCTGAGGGCCATGTAGTCTGAGGGCCAAGGGGAGAAGAAAGGATTCAGTGGCAGGTGCTGTCAGACTAACCTATCTTCATTCTCTAGTCCTAGAAAAGGGGTCAGTCAGACAGGGGCGCCAGTGTGTGAGGAGGATGGTGATGCAGGCCTTGGCATCAGACAGGGAGGGAAGGCTCCAATCACGCCTCGTGGGCGCGGGCGAAGGGGCCGCCCACCTTCTCGGACCACTGGAACCAGGTACCCGGGTAGTGTGAGATACACTTAGCCTATGATTGGTTAGAAAAAAAGGGAGTTGAGAAAAGAGAGGGGAATCCATAGTATGTGGGGTATCAGGAGGGAGAAGAGGGGCCCACGTGACTGGGGAGTGGGCAGGGAGCAGAGTGAGGCCACTGAGCGACCAGGCTTGTGCCTGTCATGGGGTTATCAAAAAATGGGCTGATGGAATGGGGAAATTGGTAGATAAGTACTTCTCTCTTCTTGGTCTCACTGCCTTCTCCTATCTCTTCTCTCTCTTTAGAGAGACAACTGTGCCTGGCCCCTTGGGCGTAGAGGACATTTCGCCCAACATGTCGCCAGATGATAAATCCTTTACCCGTATCACGCCCCGAGTGCCAGACTCTACCAAACGAGCAGATATGAGCACTAGTGTTGTGCGTCGAAGCGACTCTCCAGAGATTCCTTTTCAGGCTGCTGCTGGCCCTTCCGATGGCTTAGATGCCTCCTCTCCGGGGAACAGCTTCGTAGGGCTCCGTGTTGTGGCCAAGTGGTCCTCCAATGGCTATTTTTACTCTGGGAAAATCACACGAGATGTCGGAGCCGGGAAGTACAAGTTGCTCTTTGATGACGGGTATGAGTGTGACGTTTTAGGCAAAGACATTCTGCTGTGTGACCCCATCCCGCTGGATACTGAAGTGACAGCACTGTCGGAGGACGAGTATTTCAGTGCAGGTAACAAAAGCAGCAGGTGCCAGATGCTGACTGCCCGGGTGACCCTCTCCCATCAGTATTGACCAAGAGCCTCACTCCAGCCTCATTACTTTTCTGGGGTCTCTAAATCATAAATTCCATTCCTGCAACATGGGTTACTCAAACACTGGCCGCCTTTTATTTTTGTTCTTTTTTTTGGAGTAAACTTTTAATTTTGAAATGTTTTTTATTTACAGAAAGATTGCACAATACTGAGTTCCTGTATAGCCCTTACCCAGCTTCCAGCTAACAAGCTAACACGTTAACATGAGATACTTATGAAAACTAAGAAGCCAGCTATGGCTCATTACTGTTAACTAAACTGTAACTTTATTTGGATTTCACCAGCACTGACCTTTTCCTATTCCCAGACACAATCCAGGACTACGTCGCTGCATTTAGTCTTTGCGTGTCCTTTAATCTCTTGATCTGTGAACTTTTCTTGTTTTTCATGACCTTGACAGTTATGAGGAGTACTGGTCAGGTATTTGAAGAATGTTCCTGAATTTGGTTTGTCTCATGTTTGTCCTAATTAGGCTGGGGTTACAGGTTAAAAGTGATGGAGATGAAGCCTTTCTTACCATCAGAGGGGGAGGCGGGCATGTAACACCCACAGCAGATGGCTGGTACGGAGGTTAAGGTCATGTCTGCCAGCTTTCTCCCACTGTAAAGTTAGTGTTTTTCATTTCCATTCTCTGTTCTTTCACCAGTGTCTTTTATTACTTGCCTTGATGAAAACCAAGGTAGGAAGCTGAAATAGTTTCACTTAGGAAGTTGCCAGTACTGTGTTTGTGAGCTCAGTGCCCATCCCTTTGTTTTGTAGAGTAGTAAGCTTCCGCCTTCCCCGCTTGTTTTTGAAGTAGCCAGAGTTCCCTGTGTTGATTGATGGTGAGGGATTTGTTGTGATTGTTACACATGTTGCAGTTCTCTGACTACACATTCCCTTTATGAACTGATGCGGAGACACATATATGTGTCACATATAACGGTATCTTTTTGCGTATTCGAGTACTTGCTAGATACCTTATTTTTTTTTTTAAAGATTTTATTTATGCATACAGAACTGGAGTGCAGGCATGGTGAAAGGATTCACGAGACAGCCAGGAGCAGAACAGGCAGATCGACAAAGTAAATTGCTGAGGGGAGCAGTTGGGCGGGTCAGGAGAGGTCTGCTGCGCCATGTGGATCACCTCTGGGGCAGGCGGGGATCGAACTTGCACTGAAGAGGCTACAGCTAACTTGCAGTGCTGCATTCCAATGTTGCGCCATCAGGGAGAGCCTTGGATACCTTATTAAATGGGCCCTTTAACCCTGTAGTTCTGGAAAACAGCTCTCTGGCACATGAATGGACATCTTTTATGGCTTGTGACTTAGTTTGTATCAAATGCATTTGTTCTTTAAGGAATAAAGTCACTCTCGGAGGTCCACATTGGCCCTCCTAAGACAGAGACAACTTTGTCCAGAGTGTATCATGGCAACAAGGGGTAGAGATTCTGTCTTAGGCTGTTACTGTCAACACTAGATTGCTTCTAATTCCAGTCTTCATGAGAGTTTAGTATGTGGTATGAAGTACGTCTTTGGCTTTGGATGCCTTTGTGCTTTTGAGGGAGGGACTTTGTAATTTAGCTTGGCAAAAGTGATTTAAGTTAGAAGGTGCATAGATGGGGTGAAAGAGAATGATAGTGTGGCATAGATCTGAGAGAACCAAGGCCTGCCTTCTCTATATTTATTTACACGGTGGAATGCTCTCTGGTTTTCTTTAGTCTTTATTCAAGTATATGCTAATAGGGGAGAGCCTTCTGTTTATAGGAATGAAAAAGTGTTCTTATTCATGCCCTATTTTTATATTATGTACATGTAGGTTGTTTATGGTGGATAGAGATGGAGTGTTACCTTTTGCACAGGGAACAAAAGAATCAGGTGTAGGCCTGGGTTTCCAGAATGTCAACCCAATTTCCGTCTATTTGCCACATTATGTTCCTTCTCACTAAAGGTGTAATTTTTCTGAATTTGAGCAGCAACAGGAAAGTAAATATGAGGGAAGGAAGACTGGGCAGAAGAGTTTTTGTCCTTTCTTTGCTCTGTATCTGTTTTGATTTTGTTCCATAAACAAAGGACAGGCACATGCTCTCAAATTTCATCTTTAACCTACAACTCAAAAATTAAATCACTTAGTTTTCAAACAGCCAACAAGGAAAGACTGAGACATAATGGGATCATTAAGAAGCCATTTCACTTCAGGAACCATTTTAACCACTAACAACTCATGGAGACTGACTTTAGGAAGCCTTATAACTAAAGATCTCCTTTTGAGACACTGTCCATGTCTCTATTCCTAGCTGGTTGTATGTGTCCTAAACATTGTTGTCTGGGATTCACAGGTAGAATTTTAAGTCCTAACTGCACTCCAGTGTTTGAGCACCTGGTTCCCCCACTCAGTCCTGCTCTAGAGCCTAGTGAGTGGATGCTGAGTAGCCTAAAACAGCTGCAAGCCTTCTTGTTTTTCCCACCAGGTGTGGTGAAAGGGCATAGGAAGGAGTCTGGAGAGCTGTACTATAGCATTGAAAAGGAAGGTCAGAGGAAGTGGTATAAGCGGATGGCTGTCATCCTGTCCTTGGAACAAGGAAACAGACTGAGAGAGCAGTATGGCCTGGGCCCGTATGAGGCAGTAACACCCCTCACCAAGGCAGCAGATATCAGTTTAGGTAAGACCTTTGCTTACTGAATAGCTGTCCATGGCATTCATTTTGCTTTTGGTGGGTGGAGTGGTCTCTAGAGCAATTGGTAATGCTTCCAAAATCATATTATTTCTGTGTGGCATATTAAGTTGACAAGCTGCCATTTTCTGGAGTTACTGCCTACCTCTGTCTCCTTATGTGGCAAAGACTAAAAATATGGTGACATTAACAGAGGTTCCTGCCTCCATGGGAGTTGGAGGAAAGGGCATAGTGGTATCTTATCAGGATGTGCCCAGCTATTTGGTGTTCAGGGCCTCAGATCGTGGGAATTGATCAGTATTTGGTTTATCCTATCAGACAATTTGGTGGAAGGGAAGCGGAAACGACGTAGTAACATCAGCTCTCCAGCAACTCCCACAGCTTCCAGCAGCAGCAGCAGCACAACCCCAACCCGCAAGGTCACAGAAAGTCCTCGTGCCTCCATGGGCACCCCCTCAGGTAAAAGAAAACTCATCACATCTGAAGAGGAACGGTCTCCTGCCAAGCGAGGCCGGAAGTCTACCACTGTGAAACCTGGTGAGTGCTTCCTTCTGCCTCAGTCTCCCTGAGACCTGTGGTGGACTGTAGGGCCAGCTGCTGATGTGGGGCTTCAAAGTAGTACCCAGAGACTGCTTACTTGTATCCATCTCCTCCAGTCTCGTCCTCAAATCTACCATCAGTTTAGCAAGGGCAGAGAGAGGCCATGTCTTGATTACGGGCATTGACTGAGCCCCATGTAGGCTTTTAGGAGGAAAAGTATTGAGTTTTAAGCAAATTCAGAATAGGTAAAATTTGTTTTTTTATCTTTTCCTCTAAGCACTATCTTTTACCTCTGGAAATTCTGCTACCCCTCCCTTATACTCATGGGCCTCTGACTTTCCCATATTTTCTCTTGAAGGCCTGTTCCTGAGCGCATCTCCCCTCGCTTGCTGTTTTCCAGATAGTCCCTTCCCATTCCTCTTGCTTCATGTGACAGAGCAGCGTAATCCATCCGTTGTTTACTGAGCCTGTGACCTAGCCCAGCTGCTGTGGCTTCTGGAGACACAGGGTGTCCTCAGTGTCTACCCCAAGGGACCTTTTATTTAGCAAACTGATAAACTTTGGTTCACTGTCGTGGCACCAGAGTTCTTCTGTTGCCTGTATCTGAGCTGTGTGATCTGTTTCAGGGATGAGAGGGACGGAACTCAGTGTTTTATATACTTTACCTTTGAGTAAAGTGTATACAGTCCCTGAAGTATAGGTGCTAGATTGCATTTTCCAGTTGAAGAATCTGAGGCACAGGAAAGTTGGCCAACTTCAGGTAACACACAGTAAGCCAGAATTCAAATTAGGCAGTCTGACTTCAGAGTCCAGGCTCAAACATACTATATCAGACTATTCTCTTGCTGCTGGTTTTATTTTAGGGAGACATGACCTGTCATCTTAGCTTCTTAATGAACCTACGACTCAGCTTCTCCAAGTCAGGTATACGTTTTCTTGAGGACGTAGTGGGGCACTCCTGGCACGGGTGTTCTGGGAGTCCTGGACTGGCTGGTTCACTTACCTTCCTACCCCCAGGTGCTAGAAACTGGGATCATTGAAGCAGGCTGTTGGGCTGTGGCTCTGTCAGCATGTAAACACATTATTGCTGAGTATTCTAGGCACCATAATGGTGAAGGCCCAGGGTAGGGTGGGAGTAACATTTGGCACTTTTATGTAATAAAAATGTGGGTTTTGTCTTGTATTTAATGACTACTTCCAAATTACACTATCCGGAAGAAATCAGCACTGAGCAGATTTCCGTCAGTACTTTTTCACTCTCACTAATCTTTGTTTTAGAACTACCCTTCTTCAGATGACCTTAGAAGTATCTGGTTTATTTGCATTGAAAATCTGATCCTAGGTTATAGACCTTAAGAATGGTGTTTGATTATAGCTCAGGAAAATTCATCAAGACATTGCCCGTCACACTCATGCTTGGTGCTAGGACCTGAGCCTAGGCAGTGATCTGTGTTGCCCTGGTAACTGTGTGTCTATGCTTCCAGGTGCAGTGGGAGCAGGAGAGTTTGTGAGTCCCTGTGAGAGTGGAGACAACATGGGTGAACCTGCCACCTTGGAAGAGCAGAGAGGGCCTTTGCCCCTCAACAAGACCTTATTTCTGGGCTATGCTTTTCTCCTCACCATGGCCACAACCAGTGACAAGTTGACCAGCCGTTCAAAACTGCTAGATGGTCCTGCAGGAAGCAGTGAAGAGGAGGAGGGTAAGACCCTGGCAAGTCCTGCAGGTCTCGTGTGCTTTTCCTTCCTATCCTCTCACTTCATGAGCCTCGCGGCCCCTGCCTGCTATAGCGGAGGTGGCTACGGGGCTCTTGGTCAGAGAAAATGAATTTTACCCAGCGTCTTAGTTTACAGATTGGTTTCAGAGTTTCTCCATGGGTCCTCAAAACAGTACTGTGAAGCAAGTGGAAGCTAGATCTTGCTTTCCATGTAAGGATGAGGAAACAAGGTCGGAGAAGGTAAAGAATTGCCTTTTGCTGTGATGGAACAGTAGACTTGGGCCTAGACCCCTGCATTTGCCCTATTATAGGCCTTCAGGACAAGCAAGGTAGCTAGCTGAGTACCCTACCATCTTTCCCATTTGGGTTCTAGGGGTCAGCTTCAGTCTCTTGAGGTTTTTAAGACTAGGAATGTAGGGTGCTCTAGGGTGATTTCAGAGACAAAATCAGCTTCTAGGCTCTTTGAACACTTGTACCACAGGATTTGAGTAAAGGGTGCAGTTGGGAGAGGTAAAAAATTATTTTAGCTGTCTATAAAGAAATTTGCCAAGGTAAAATTTATACATAAATATATCCAAAAAGGTCTATAAAGTTAAAGATCCATATGGAATGATGTTCTACAAGTGTTCTGACAGTGTAAGGAAAACATGGTAACCATAAAATGCGATGGTTGGCATTTCTGGTAATTCTTTCCTAATTAGCTAAAACTCCCATCAACTGCACCCGAAAGGGAGAGGTACAGGGCAAGGATGGTCAGAGAGCTGGGTAAAGGTGTCGTGGCAGTAGAGAGGCTTTAGGGTATAGGAGCAGGTATGGCACATCTGGGTGTTCCAAGGGTTAAGTGCACAAAACCTAGTTTGTCTGACAAGTTTCACAGCAGATTGTTATTCTACAGATGTCATTGTACAGTGGGAGAGAGGTGTGGCATGTAGTTTGCCTTGATCATCTCATGGCATTAAAGCAATGTACTGATCTTGTTTTTTTTTTTTTTTTTGCTGAACTCTGGTCTTTATTTCCTAATGCACCCCTGACTCTCCCCTACCCCAGTACCCTACAAGGCAGCTCTACAGATGTTTCATTGGTTGGTTCGGTTGTCGCATCCTGCCTTAAGCAGGAAGGCCTACTGTGGTATAATATGCAGCCTGCTCAATGCTTGAAAAATCTGAGCCTTTGTATAAGTAACTCGACACAATTTGCTCTCCATTCCTCCCTACTAATATAGCAAACATTTGTAATCTCATGTAAGCACAAGTGAGGAAAGGTAATTTTGAGAGAATGAGGATTTTGGATTTTTTTTTAAAGAGGATTCTCTAGTTTTCTGGTTGAAGTGGTTGTAGTGATGATGATGGATGCTTTGTTATTCCTTTGACCTGGGACCAGAATCTTTGTTAGTTTTGGGGTATGAAAATGCCTAGGGCTCCACCAGTAAACCTGGTGACAGTTGTAGAATAAGTCCCCTAGAAACAATGATCTGTCTTGTAGACAAATGGAAATCTTAGATACCAGTTTATACCAGGAACCCAGTAAAAGACGCTGTTGTAGCTTGTGAGATAGTAAGAATATGGCGCCCGGTCTTGTTAGGTGGCTCATTAACATTAACCACCGGGAATCTGATTGGCAGGTCTATTCCTTAATCAAAAACCAAAGAAAACTAATTCCAAACAAGTTGAGAACTGCATAGATAGGGTAGTATTTGAATATTCAAGTACAAGGAAATACAAGTCTATAAATACGTCAGGACTACAGAAATAATGGATCTTAAGGGGGCCATGTGTTAGTAGCAGTGTCAGTACTGAAAACTGACTCTGGCATAATATATTGAGATGGATCAAAAGGAAGCAATGAGAAACAGCCCTGATATGTTCAGCGTTTCCCCCTAACTATAGAGCTTCTAGTTCAGTTTTCATTGTGAGAAGAATTATCTTACTTTAAATGTGATGAGAGGAGTAGCTGAAAGAAAGCAAGCTCAAATTAGTTATTTGGTTTAAAGCAAGTTTTAATTGCTTAGAGCAATTATAATGTCACCCTCAAGACTGTAGAGCAGTATTGATGTTCAGAGTCTTGTACTCCAAGAAAGGTGGTTAGTTTTCAGTAACATTTTTGACACAGAATTTTCTGGCTAATTTAATGTAATTAAAATTTTAAATCCTTACTTTTAACATTCTGGTTCATCAGTTTTAATGTACAGTGGAACTTGAATGTTTTATTATAAAAAGTGCTAATCTAGTCATTTCATAAAATTACAGAAAGTGGGCTGAGTATGCAGCAGGAACGAATTAGGGTAGACTTAAGAACTTTCTGATAGTAAGGACAACTTACTACATCAAAATACATCACTCTGAGGAGAGGTTGTATCCGTTCCTATGAACAGTACCCTGACTAGTCTTAGTGCGGAAACATATGAAGCTTTTAGGTCTGGGACCTACGTCCATCTCTCATCTTCTCCCTCAAGACAGATCTCTTTCTGACCCATGAGTAGCTCTGTTATTGGCATACATGCAGTACTGGGGAAGTAACAGGACATGGCAAAGGGGATAGATAGTAAGAAGCAGGCATAAAGTAGTCCATGAGAAATGGCAGTAATTATCTTGGTCTTCTGTGTTTTTATGTAGAAATTTTAGAAATTCCTCCTTTCAACAAACAGTACACAGAATCCCAGCTTCGTGCAGGAGCTGGCTATATTCTTGAAGACTTCAATGAAGCCCAGGTGAGGAGTTTCTTTCTGTAACTTACCAGAAGGGCAGTGATGAAGAATCTATTTGTAGTATTGAGGAATTAGGGAGATTGAGTGTAACGGTCCAAGAGCTCAGAAAATGGCCAAAATATATTGCATAAAATTGTTACTGTGTATAAAGAAGATAAATTAAAACCTTGGGCTAATTAATACCTGCTTAGCAGAAATTCTATCATGTTGCTGATTCTTAACCTGAAAGGCAGAACACCTGGGGGGCTGGTTTTAAGGATTTAAACCCTCAGCTGTAGATGAGGCAGGAAAAGATTCTAAAGGAGCTGCTTGGCCCTTTCAGTGTGAGAAGAGGCTTTGGGAAAAAGTACAGTCATAAATAGTACTTGCAAGTTTTCTGTTCTGTCCTTCCAGTGCAACACAGCCTACCAGTGTCTCCTAATTGCGGATCAGCATTGTCGAACCCGGAAGTACTTTCTGTGCCTTGCCAGTGGGATTCCTTGTGTATCTCATGTCTGGGTCCATGACAGCTGCCATGCCAACCAGCTTCAGAATTACCGTAATTATCTGCTGCCAGCGGGGTACAGCCTTGAGGAGCAAAGAATTCTGGATTGGTGAGTATTTGAAAACTAATCTAGAATGGTAGACAAGCTACTGGAGGGGGAGAATCTAGATAAGAAAGTATTTCTAGAATTTGGAATGTTTATAAATGTAGAATGTGGGTTTGAGGTTATTTTGGCAGTTCAACTAGTTATTTCCCTTAAGGGAAATTGATAAAGAGCCTTTCAGAAATGTGAGGATTTTCATGTAGGTTCAGTATTCTCAACTTGTAAGGTTAGCGCAGTATTAAGTAGGACTCTTTAAAATTACAGGAACAGGGCTTACTTGGCTTATTGGCCCTGGACAAACATAGAAATCAAAAGGGGTAGATCAGAAGGTCCAGGTTCCAGAGAATATTCACAGAAAGAAGGTAGTGTCCTAACATAAGGCTTTTTGTTGGACACTGTCAGCATAAGTTCCCTTCCAATTCTTTGGTGTGCTCTCTCTCTCAATTATAGGCAACCCCGTGAAAACCCTTTCCAGAATCTGAAAGTACTCTTGGTATCAGACCAACAGCAGAACTTCCTGGAGCTCTGGTCCGAGATCCTCATGACTGGGGGAGCAGCCTCTGTGAAGCAGCACCATTCCAGTGCCCATAACAAAGGTACCTGGAAAGTGCGTGTGCTGGCATTGGAAGGGTGTCCTTATACCTGGTTTGGGCGCAGACAAACAGCCCCAGGGAAGAGAAGTAGCACCCCCACAAGAGGTGAACCAGTTTAAGAGGTACTGGGATGTTTCTACTTACACTGGTGCTGTCCAGTGATGTACTTGCTAACATTCCTCCCAGGTCAGCTGATACCCATTATAACTTCTATTCTGGGCTGTGGTCATTATGTTGGAATGACTGGGTTTTTTGGGGGCAGGGACGGGTGTGCTGGCTAGAAGGCATGTCTGACTCTTGAGTGCAGGGATCCATGGAGTCTCCTTACCTTACTTGCCTCCCCCTGCTTCCTGCAGATATTGCGTTAGGGGTATTTGATGTGGTGGTGACGGACCCCTCGTGCCCAGCCTCGGTGCTGAAGTGTGCTGAAGCATTGCAGCTGCCTGTGGTGTCACAAGAGTGGGTGATCCAGTGCCTCATTGTTGGGGAGAGAATTGGATTCAAGCAGCATCCAAAATATAAACATGATTATGTTTCTCACTAAGGATATACTTGGTCTTACCTGTTTTATTTCCTGCGTCGTGGAGATTGTGTTTTAACCAGGTTTTAAATGTCTTGTGTGTAACTGGATTCCTTGCATGGATCTTGTACATAGTTTTATTTGCTGGACTTTTATGATAAAATAAATGTTGAATCTCTTTGGTTGTAGTAACTGGGATTTCTTTTCTTTGAGTTTAATCTCAGAACAAATAGCAAGACAAATACAGTCCTCTGCCATTGACAATACGTTTGTTCAACGTAGGACAGCTAGCCAAGGAAAAGTAAGATATAAATTTTAAAGTCTTGTGTAGCATTACTGTCAAAGATTTAGGGCTGTCTAAAACTCAATGCTTTCAAAACCTGGTGAAACAGTAGGCCCACGTTCAGTGGTTGTGCCAAAAGTTGAATGGAGTTTGGAACAGCTCTAAATTTCCTGGGAAGTAAGAAAAAAAAATCTCTTTAGAGCTGAAAGGGAAGAGGACCATTTGCTGTGAATGGACAGTGACTAAGCTTGATGTGGTGACCTTCTGCAGAGATAAACATGAGAAGCACAGATGTAAATACCTCAAGCCAGTGGTTCTATATTTTATTACTGTTATTGTCACAGTTGTTAGAAGCTATTCTCCTTTCCTGTACCCCTAGCAGCACCTCTGTTGATGTTCCTCATTCTCTAAATCCGGGGCAAATATCTTAGGCACTGTGGGCCCTTTGGTAGATCATTTAACTCATTTTTGCTCTGCTAAGCATGAAAGCAGCCATGAACAAAAAGAAGGTGGATCAGCACAACTGTGTTTCAGCGAAACAATCAACAGGTGCAGCCCATAGCTTACTAACCTCTGCTCCAGAGGGAGAAGGGAACATCTTTCGCTGACAGCTGCAGGAGTAAGGGCACGTAGCATTTGGTTTTCATCTCCACATCTTCTACCAGACTCTGTGGCCAGTAACAGCCAGAAAATACACTAAATTGTCCCTAGCAGGAACTGTCCTTTCACTAGTCTGAAATAACTGCAAATTATTGTTAAAAAAATCTTGATTCAGTTTTAAAGATGTGGCATATTCTTCATTTCAGCTTTCTGAAGGCATCGTCTGTGGGGCAAGTAAAAAAAGCCTATCTTACCTGGTGCCTTTTTTTGCACTGAACTAACATCTAGCACTTGACCTATTTATAATTTTCACATGAGCCACAAAATATTTTTCTGATTTGAATTGTTTACTGCCTTGTCTCCTGCAGCTTGAACAGTACCCAAGCACATAAAAGACTGACGAATGAATGAACATACCCGACAAATGTTCTCAATGTAACGGCTCTTGCATGGTCAGCGGGGAGAACGGATGCCAGCCAACATTCTTGGTGGGCAAGTTAACTCCCTTTCCACATGCGAATGATGGGAAAGGTTTGTACCCATGGGTGCTCAGTAAATGCTTCTAAGGAGAAAACATCTGCAGACATTTGCCAAGTGGCTAGAAATAGGGTATTCTGAATCTTCTGTAACAGACTTGGGGAGATGGTCAGAGTGTTACTTGGTTTCTGAACCATACATTTTCACATCCCGAAACTAGAAAAAAAAAGGGGGGGGGAATAAGTCTTATCAGATATCTCGCTTTCTCAAGAATTCAGAGAAATAGGAGAGGAACCTCTGATCTAGATGACATTTTAAATCCCAAAATTGACTTTTCTGTGAAACTCATTTAAAAAAACAAAGGGTATTTTAGAGGGGAGGATAGGAAAGTGCTTTTTCTTTTTTTTTTAAATGGGGACAGACTTCTCAGAGAAGCTGTCATTGAACCTAGTATTAGTTTAAAAATGGTTTAGAATTAGAAAGGGGAGGCTCCTCCTTTTACAGCTGGGTGCCTGAGTCTGCACAGCTAGTTACTGCCAGAACTGGGAATTAAAGCCAAACTTCTGCCCAACATAGTAATGTACAACCTCGCCAAGAACTTAAACCCATCTCTGTGTCAGGTGATAGTATTATACTATCATGGTGACTTCTGGAAAGTTATCTTCATTAAAGTAAAAGAGCTGTGTGTCTGATTATCATTATCTCTGAGTGTCAGTTTCTGAGGTGAGAATATATATATAAAGTGAATTGAACTAGATGATGGTTTGTTTCTAGCTCTGGAATTCTGCAACTCATTGAAAAGCCACACATAAAGTCTCCTAGGTTCCCCCAAGTTTTTCCTACCTGCCCAGAGTTCCTCCAGCCTGGGTGTAGTATTTGTTATAATCCAGTCGTAATAGTAGTTGAGCCAAATCTGAGTTTATCTGATGATTCCGAACACTGGAGAGAATCTTGAAGAGGAGTGAAGACTGGCGGCTAAAGCCCTAGAGAGAGGAGGACTCAAACTGTCAAATGTACCAGTAACTCCTAAAATGACTGACTGCTTAGTACCTCGAAAGCATGTGACAGGAGCACAGTTTCTATTTCTCATTCTCAGTAAGAATTTAGTGTTGTATACAGAGCTGAGGAGAGCCTGTGTGTTTTGTATCAAAAACAGGCAGGTAATTATGAATTGTAATACGGGGTTAGTGCAAGGAAGTAAAGATGCTGAATGAGAACATGCGAACAAAGCCAGTGCATATTTGCTGGGCCTGGACTATGTTTCAACACTGTAAGGCAGCCCAGAGTTACCTGCTTCAGAATCAACAAATACCAACAGTTTATCTTTGCATCTTATTTCTGCTTATCCATTATTGGGGAAAGGCTCTGTTGATGCAAAGATCACAGTTCTCCATTGGTAAAAGCACTGCTCTCCTTTGGACAGGGCTCACTCACCTTCACCAGGATGCTCAGCTGGGCGGCTCCACGCTCATCCAGTGGTCCCAAGTTCTGACTGACCAGGGAGCAAAAGCTGTGACAGAGATCTAGGATTTCATTTAGGCAGTGAAATACCTGTCCAGGAAACAGTTCTCATTAGTGAAAGAAGGAAGATATATCTGTAAAGTTAAAGATCTGGAAAATTATCCAGGAATTGGCTTATTCCCATTCTCTCACAGCTGACCTCAGGAAAGTCAATGCGAGTTGCAAGTCCTGCCAGCACCCCCCACCATACTTTACAAACTCTTTTTCTGATAAAGATGCTGGGTTCCCTTGGTAATCCTTGGACAAAGCCTCTATTCTTTAAGCACATTTGTCATGTCCTGGACCCGCAGTTACTCCCACCCTGAGCTTTGTTTGCAGTGTTCCCTGTGCCCAGGACGCTCATCAGGACCAGCTCACAGCGGAGCGCCAGCTCCACACAGTCTTTAGTGACCCCTGCTTCTCTCCTCTCTCTTTCCTGTGCTGTTCACGTGGCCATTTGTTCAGGCCGCCTGTGTTGTTACTGATCTGTGTGCGTATGTATGTCTTGTTTCTCCAACTAGATTGTGAGCTCCTTAAGGGCAGAGCCATGACTTATACCTCTTTGTATCCCTAGTGCCTTGCATATAGTAAGCACTCAATAAATATTTAATGATGACCACTGATCCGATACTCTGCTTTTCTCCCAGGATCACAAACAAAGATAAGGCCCTGCCACAGTGGCTCCTGGTAGTTTTCAATTCACAGAACCCTTTGGGGTGGCCTTTACAAACTCCTAATTTTATAAACTTTATAAAACTCTCCTGTAGTGCAGCAAGAATAACAGCTCCAGATACTAGGACAGAGAAGTCTGTGGGGCTTGGTGTGGCATTACCTAGGAGTAACAACTAGTTCATGGCAGAGATAAAGGGGTCAATTTCAACCGTCCTGCTGGAACTGGAACCAACTGGTGAGTTTTGAAAAATACTGGTGCTTGGATCTTACTCCAGGAATTCAAATTTAAGTGCCCAGATGTTCCAACATGGAGCCAAGGCTGAAAATAACTTCCCTGAAGGAGAACACATTTGTATTTACATATGTCCATCTAGATACACACAGAAGAAGCCACTACTCCATGTGTCTATGAAAATGACTTTCAAAAATTGATAGACCTTGATCTAAAAGATTTCTAAGAAAATAATCCCACATACTTTTTGGTGACCTTTCTGTGATGTCAGTTAAGTTTTAATCATTTAAATCCTGAGGGATAGGCTCTCCCGGGTGGCACAGCGGTTTAAAGCACAGCACTAAGAAGCTAAAACCACTTCAGCATGAATTTGATCCCCGCCTGCCCCGGAGGGGATCCACATGGCGTGGCAGACTGTTCTGCTCCCCACTCTGTCTCTGGTGAATCCTCTCACTGCCCCTGCACCTCTGGCCTGTACCCCCGTTTTGTACACACAAATAAATAAATCGTAACAAAAAACAAAACAAAAACCTGAGGGATAAACACCACACCCCGTGACAGATTTTTAAAAATTCTAAGAATTTAAATTCTTTGTAATACCCTTTTAGTTTTGCTTTACAAATTGTTTAAAATGTGTAAAAATGAGATGGGAGAATTTACTAGTTAGTTTCATATCCTCGCAACTCAATGTGCCTATAGGAACAGAGAGGCTCTTGAAGTAGCCCTACTTACAGGTTTCAGCAAGATAAAGGACTGGGCCAGCAAATTGCTCAGGAAGTGGTCATGAGCCAGTCGGATGCTTTCGAAGTCTCGTGTTGAATTGATCTGATGAAGCAGCTGTGAGAACTGAGACTCGAGCACATCTACCTGATAGACAGTTATGCACACAGTTTTAGCACCCTGCATCTTCTAACCATTCAAAGATACTAAGGTGCTCAGCTGAATAAATAGAAGTTATTTGCATTTACCTTCCTCCTATCTAAGCTACTTTACAGCTGAGCAAAGGCATCCTTATATTGCCTAGCCTTGAAGAAAGTTATTCACCAAATTCTTACCTGCCAAGGACCCCCTGCCCCAACCCAATCTTGTCCAAATCCCTTTGACTAAGCTGGCTTGGTTATGTTCTACAGGATTCCAGAGATTACCACAAATTGTTAACTGTAAAGTTACCAGTAACTAAGTACTGAACTGATAAGCGCCCCTCCCCCATTCTTCTTTCTCCATCTGTTTATAGACACTGAACTCTAAAATTCTAAGAAACATGTCTAGTAAGACAACCTGTGAATCTCCTGAAACCCTAGGATTACAGTCCTTTTTCAAAAATGCCTGCCAACCTCCTTGACTTTTTTCATACTCTTCCTTCTACTCATCCCTTTGCTCACACCTGGAGATAGTACTGAAGATTATCCACTAAGAACGCCATGTGGTTTCGTAGGCGCCACTTGACTGCGTCCGTCTGGTTGGACTTGAGGTGCTTGCGCTGCATCTGTAGAGCCCAGCAGTGCTGTAGTTCAGCTTGGACCCGACGCACACTCAGTAAGTACTTGAAAACAACATTGTATCTAGGACATTAACATCTGGTTATTCAAAGAAAAGTTCTTCCCATCCCAACCTGCATGAAAGACCCTAGAACTGTGCCACCCACCTGTCCCCCCAAAAAGGCAAGTAGGAAAGAATGGCTAGAGTTGGACCAATGAACTGTGGCTTATTTATACAATGGAATATTACACAGCAACCAGAAAGGATTTAAGCTGAAAATGCAAAATGATTCCTAATAATATGATTCTGAATGTAAACGGTAAATCTCAAGTTTATTTGTAGCCCATGGGCCTCGCTGGTGACCTCAGGATTAGTCCCAGCACTGTCACCACTGTGGTCTGAGTTCGCTCCCCAGGCAGGGAGCAGACCCACAGGTCACAGCAGACCTCTCTTCTGCCCACGACGAAAAGTACAGAGAAAACATGGAATTTAAAATAGTACAACAGGATGGAGGAGTGGCAAGACTAGGGAAGACCATACAGGTCTGGGTCTAGTATTTTCAGCGTCTTAGTTTTTGCGGTGGGGGAGAGAAGTTTATAGAAACTGATTGCATTCATTTTAAAAACTGTATTTCTAGTGGAATATGCTGCATTATAGTACATCATGTTTGGATTTGATTTGAAGAAACATCAACCACAACTTACGTTTTTAGATAATTGGGGAAATTTTAATGTGGACTGGATGTTAGATAGTAAGGCATTATTAAATTTATCAGGTATAATGGCACTGTATGTTAATAAAAAACATGTCCTTTTTGAATTGCAGAGTCTGGAGTAAAAAAAAAACAGCATAATGTCAGTAGTCAGTGAAACTAATACATAGGAACCTTTGCTTATATTTGGAACTTTCATAATAAAGAAAATTTTAAAACTTAACATAGTTTCTTCAATAGTGGTAAAAGCACATAAGGTGAGAGGTAAATGGCTGATGGGCTTATGGGATCCCAACAGGTGTGGAGACAAGGTCCACGTAGCTGGCTTTGGCTGGTTGTAGACTCGGAACCTCCCTCAAAGTCTTCTCCCTGGACAAGCCTCATCTCCAGTTTATAATCTCAAACGCTAAGCTACTCTCTCCTCCAACAGAAAGAGGGTTGTGAGGACAGAGGAGTGAAGAGAAGCCCTTCCGTGTGTTTGTTTCCCTTTTCGCAACTGTCTCTGACTTTGGAAAGTCTATTAAAATGGTGTGGGTGGGTTTCACAGACCACTGCCAGTCATGCATGCTTCCTCCAACTTCTTTTCCCTGTTTTGGAGGACAGCAGGGTCTAACTGGGGTTGAGAACAGAACTCACTGTTGCGTCTCCCTGGAGGTCAGGAGGTATCTCCCAGGTGGCTAAGTCCACACACAACTCTTGGGTCTTCCCAAGTAAATCAACAAAGAATTACAAAAGTTAGTGTGAAATCTAGTCAGAGCTGATGAATTTACTAAGGGCCAATCTTTCTTTGAGTGCCCATTTGAGTTTACAAAGTGGAATTCTGTAAATTATTATTTTGCAGTTAAATAAGCCAACCTGCATCCTCCAAACTTTATGGTTTTAAGGGTGTGACCCTCCTGTCCACTCCAGTAACCACCACTCCTACTGTAGGATTTCTGGAACTTAATCTCTCCATCCCCTGAAAAGCATCTGAGTTTACATTTGATTTACTACCTGCTAAAAACTAGCTGAGTGGCTATCTTGCACCCACTGTTTTCTTCCCTTTGGCGTGTATATTTACCTGTGAAAAGCTCAGAAATACTCACTTTTCCAGGACAGCAGGGGTGAAGAGGATGTGTAGTGGCCATTGCACTTTGTAGGAAAGGCCAAGGGCTGCCCAGCCAGATGCAGGGGCTTCCCGGGGAGAGGTTTCCCGAGAAGGCCCTTCTCTTGCCTGAGTAGCATCTATTAAGAGAAAAAACATTTCTGGTAACCTAGACACACTGTTTCACCAAGGTAGACAGACACACAGTGATGACTAGCTCAAGTGTGTGCTAGTGGAGGCATCAAGGGGACTCAGGCAAATTGCAGAGAACAGGGAAGCATCTGTCTGAGCTCTTAGGAGCTCCTTTAGAGATTCTTTTTTTCAGATTGTAAGTCTGGTGGCTGGAAACAGACCATTCCAGTGGCATAACAAAACCATTGCTTCAACACTGCACTTAGCCTCTCTGCGCCTCCCTTTTCTGCCATGCAAAATGAGGGCAATGGATACATGATTTTTGTGGCGGTAGACAGAAGCAGTGGTAGAGAACAGATGGCGGCCAATAGGAGTGGAAAGATGCCAGGAAGAGGACAAACCTTTATGCTCCTTTCCATGATACTCAATTGTCAAGTGCAAAAGAGGTAGAAGGTTGTCATCATCAAGCAATACCTTGTGTGCAGACTGCTGGAAGGCCACGTTCACATCTGCAAGGAAGAATGGGCTGCTAAGAATGCTCAGCTGCCTAATAACGCAGGCTCCCCTGGCTTCTTACTCCTCCCCCAGATGGCCAGCACTGACAGCAGGATGGGGCAGGCACCAGCTGTTTTTGCCAGACTAGCACACAATCCTTTCCCTGCTGGTAGCAGCACCCTGATAGTCCTTGGAGAATCATCTCCACCCAGTACAGTCCTATAGTTCTAGTGGGGTTGACAATACCTGGTGCTAGGTAAAAGAGGCCCAGGCATGGTCAGTTGGAATGAACACTCAGAGAGCTGAACATCCTGCCAGGCTACACAGATTCTCAAAGAGTGAAGCTCGCTCTTTTGAGATAAACAGGGACACAGTGGATATAAGTTTGCTACCATAAGGAGCAGGCCTGACAAGAAAGGCAGAGGTGAAGGATGCAATGACACCTGGTCCTCAAGGCATCATGTGTGCCACTGGCTCAACCTGCCTACAGCCAGCATACCTCAGATGTTTTTCTGCTATGAGAATCAATATTTTTTTCCTCCTACCATTTGTTTAAGTGAGTTTGCTCTGCGGATTCTGTTACTGGTCACCAAAAAGTTTCCACAAGAACAATGGAAATCTATTAGATAGAGCCAGAACAATGGTACCCCTGTCTTCTCTCCACCCCAATCATCCATTTTCTTTAAAATTCTTATTCAACTCCATGCAGTATGAGTGAGAATGGTCACCAATTGCCTGAGGGTGAACACTTTACTGAGGTCAGCATGCCTTAGTGTCCTCTTAGTGACCAGACCTCTTTGACGAAGATGTCAAAAACCTTTCCCTGGACTTTAACTTATCATCAGGGATACTGGGATTGGTGCCTACAGCAGACACTGAAGCATGTTCCTGGCAGTTTTTGGAGGCCATGTTTTCATGTAGGACTAGAAAGTCATCCAATAGCACACAAAAGGCACAGGTACATTATGGAAAGAGGGAAAACTCTAGCAGTTCGAGCCTCAAGTTTCAGTTGTTCTAAGGCCCAGCTATACCCCTACCCACTGGAGCTATATATCTGACAGCAGATAAATATCCCTTCACACCCTGAATTGCTCAGGCTTGGTTTCCATCACTCACAGTCTAAGGACTTTTGATGCAACATTACAAGTGGTAATAAGCCCCACTATGTTCCACAAGGAATATATGACTATAATATGATGTGATAAATACCTGGTTTGAAGACCTGCAACAACTTCCAGGAAAGAGTCACAAGCCAAGACACTGCTCCTAATGACCTGAGCATGAAGCCTACCTGAAATGCCTTCCATTTTTGGAAACATTGCTGTATGTCACCAGGTTGCTCGTACGTGCTTCAGCAGCAGCCATGAAATGCCCCACACCTTCAGTAAGCTTAGGTATCCCTCAGTTCCAGAGGACAATTACCATGTTCAGTGACTGCAGTGGGTGGTGTTTTTAACATGTGTTGAGCTGTGTCAATGAAGGCCTGAAACAGTTCGCCACGTCCCAAAAGGTAAAAATCTTTTATAATCTAAGGAAAGAATTTAAATGGACAGTTCAGTAATCCAGCAAGGCCAGGAACTCCTCACTATCGTAAGGGAATTACACATTAATAGAACTTCTCATCTCATCACTTTGAGCCCAACCTACCAAAGGACCCATACCTTGTAAATCTTCATAGCAGCATGCCTGATGTATCCTTGGTATCATTTATTTAAAGGAAACACAATTATATTATGGCAGCACAAAGTAAACACCCAAAGCTTTGTAGATTTTGTAGATATGTAAGCACTGGGTAGAGTAGGTCAACTTGGCTAAGGATATATAGGGCCACTCTGGAAGCCTGGGTACAATTTTCTCATGAGAGGTTAGAGCACTAAGAAGACACTACCCACAGCATCATTTTAAGAGTTAAAAGAACAGCTATTACCTTCAGCTGACCCAGTAAATCTGATTCTTCGACCATCAGCTTCCAGAGATGCTGTGGAAAGAACAAAACAGAAGCAAATTTCATTATAATAAAAACTTGTGTAAAGAATAGTTTTATACACATTCAGCAATGTATTGAAAAAACAATATATACCATGACCAATTTTGGTTAATCCCATGAATGAAAAGATAGCTAGGGGCCTTCCTGGTGATGCAGGGGTTAAAAAACACAGTGCTATCTAGCTATCACCAGCCACTGCAGCATGAGGTTGATTCCCAGCCAGGGAGCTGATTCACATGGCGCAACAGACCTCTTCTGTCTCGCCCACTGATCCCCTCAGCAGTGTGTTTCAGAAGATCCACCTGTTCTGCTCCCCACTCTCTATGGCGAATCCTCTCCCCTCCCAGACCTCTGACTTATACCCCAGTTCATGTTGCAAAAATAAATCCTTTTCTTTTTTTTAAAAAAAGTTAAAAAGCTTCACCTATACATATGAGAGAAATGTTCTGGAATTAAGATAGTGGTTGTACAACACTGTAAGTGATGTAAAAAATACTGAGTTGTACATTGTTTTTAAATGAATTGAAAGTTGAATATTGTTATGTGAATTTATCTCAATAAAAAATAAAAATTTAAAATGAATGCAATTTATTGAATTACAGATTGAAAGAGAAATTTATCATTACCTCAATAGACACATAAAGAATATTTGATAAAACTCAACATCCATTCAAGACTTTAAAATAGCAAGCAAGCATAGAGAAATAGGAGGGAACTCCTTTATTCTGATAAAGAATATATACCAAAACCCACTGCAAGTAACCTACTTAATGAAGGAGATGAAATACCTTTAAAGTCAGTCAACATTATACTAATGTCTCTGACAATGCAGCAAGATAATTTTAAAAACATAAATTTATGGGTCCTCCCTAGTGGCGCAGCGGGTTAAAGCACAGCACTGAGAAACTAAAGCCACTTCCACATGAGTCCAATCCCCGCCTGCCCTGGAGGAGATCCACATGGCGTGGCAGACCACTCCTGACCAGCCCGCTGCTCCCCTCAGCAGTGTACTTCGTCGATCTGCCTGTTCTGCTCCCCACTCTGTCCCTGGTAAATCCTCTCACCCTCCGCATCTCTGGCCTGTACCCCAGTTCTGTATGAATAAATAAATCTTAAAAAAACAAACAAACAAAAAAAAACCCCATAAATTTACTTACATAATTTTGTTATATAATTTTATATTACTTCTATATAAGTAATTTTAAAAAAGATTTATTTATTTATTCACACAGAACTGGGGTATAAGCCAGAGGTGCAGGGGTGGTGAGAGGCTTTAGAGATAGAGACCAGAGACAGAGTGGGGAGCAGAACAGACAGATTGACAAAGTACACTGCTGAGGGGAGCAGCAGGCAGGTCAGGAGAGGTCTGCTGTGCCATGTGGGTCACCTTTGGGTTTGGGGGTTAAACTGGCACTGAAGTGTTGGCAGCCAGCTTGCAATGCTGCATCCCAACCCACTGCATCACCAGGGAAGGCCCAGAAGTTAGTAAGTTTTAATTATAAAATTTAGTATGTAACACAAAATTATGATATAATTTCATATAACTGGAAAGGAAATTACTATTAACAGATGTATTATTGTCTGTGTAGACGCCAAGAGAACTGACATACTATCAGACTGGTTAAATAATTCAGCTAAATATATAAAAGTGAACTACATAAGCAGTGCTAGTGGTAAAGGTAAAGTCCTGAACAGAGTTTGCTAGAGAAGCATCAACACTGGCTCAGGGTATCTGGATCCCCCAGCTGGGTGCTCATACCCTTCTTTATCTTAACTAGAACTGACACAGGTTAGAAACTGGTCTTTGACATATCTCCAATATGTATTACTAAACAAAGTAGCTGACATCCTCAGGAGAATATAAGCTCAGGTCAAAATAAATAATGAGGAGTAAACAAACAGATAACACCTACTATCTGAAGCAGAAGTTTTGGAACAGAGATGGAATAGTGTGCCTCTCAGATATATGTATGTATATATATATATACACGATATATGTATGTATATACAGATATATGTGTATATATATATATATATGAGAGAGAGAGAGAGAGATTTAATTTTAAAAAAGAAATAAACCAAGAAAGTGACAGATCTGTATAATAAAACTGTATAATAAAAACAAGATGTTGTTGGAAGAAGTAACAAGTGGAAAGACATATTGAGTTCATGGATCAGAACAATTAATATTGTTAAAATGTCCATACCACCCAAAGCCATCTATTAGTTCAATGTAATCTCCATCAAACTCCAATGTTTTTCTTTACAGAAATACAAAAAGCAATCCTAATATCCATGTGAACCTCAGAAAACCCTGAATAGCAAAACCAATCATGAGAAATAACAAAGCCAGCAGTATCACGCTTCCTGATTAGAAACTATACTACAAAGCTTAGTAATAATTCAGTAATTTTAGTAATAAAAATGGTATGGCTGGCCCTCCCTGGTGGCGCAGCGGGTTAAAGCACAGCACTGAGAATCTGAAGCCACTTCCGTATGAGTTCGATTCCTGCCTGCCGCCTGCCCCGGAGGAGACCACATGGCGAGCCAGACCTCTCCTGACCCGCCCGCTGCTCCCCTCAGCAGTGTACTTCGTCGATCTGCCTGTTCTGCTCCCCACTCTGTCTCTGGTGAAGCCTCTCACCGCCCCTGAGCCTCTGGCCTGTACCCCAGTTCTGTATGAATAAATAAATAAATCTTTAAAAAAAAAAAAAAAATGGTATGGCTGGCATAAAAATAGACCAAAAGAACAGAGAACACAGATTTAAACTCCTGAAAATACAGTTAATTATTTGACAAATGAACACCAAATACATGCAAAAGGTTTATATGTGAATGTGAAAAAGCTCCTTGACATTAGTCTTGATAATGATTTTTTGGATACAGCACTGAAAGCACTGATAATAAAGGCAAAAACAAGCAAGTGTAATTACATCAAACTAAAAATGCTTTTCAACCAGGAAAAAAAAATGAAAAGGTAAACCTATGGGATGGAGAAAATATTTGCAAACCACATAATGGATAAGCTTTATTCCCAATATATTCAATAATAACAAAAAAACAACAAACAAAAATAACCCAAATAAATCTTATAAACAGACAGGAGAAACAGGTATTGTTTCAAAAACATGTAAATGGTCAACAGGTATATAAAATGCTCATGCTGAACACCATGAATTATCAGGGAAATACAAGCCAAAACCACAATGAAGTATCAACAGTTAAAACAGCTATCATTAAGAGGTAAGGCACCAAGTATTGGCAAAGATGTGGAGAAAAAGGTAACTCCTGTACACTGCTAGTGGGAATGTAAATTGGTATAACCACAGAAAACAATATTGGAGGTTCTTCAAAAATTAAAAAAAAAAAATTACTATATAATTCAGCAATTCTACTTCTGGGTATATGTTCAAAGGAAATGAAAACAGAATATCAAAGAGATATATGCACTATTATTCACAATAGCTTATTATGGAAACAATCTAGGTGCTTGTCAGTAGACAAAGAAGATGTGGTATAAAGATATACAAAGAGGCCTTCCCTGGTGGCACAGTGGGTTAAAGCACAGCACTGAGAAGCTAAAGCCACTTCAGCATGAGTTCGATTCCCGCCTGCCCCAGAGGAGACCACATGGTGTAGCAGACCTCTCCTGACCCGCCCACTGCTCCCCTCAGCAGTGTAATTTGTTGATCTGCCTGTTCTGCTCCCCACTCTGTCTTTGGTGAAGCCTCTCGCCACCCCTGCATGTCTGGCCTGTGCCCCAGTTCTGTATGCATAAATAAATCTTAAAAAAAAAAAAAAGATATACAAAGAGCTGTTGAAATTCACAAAACACAAACTAAACAACCCTGTCAAAAATGGGCAGAAGAGCTAAAAAGACACTTCTCCAGAGAGGAGCATTATTTACAATAACTAAGACATATGAAAAAATGTTTAACATCACTGGTAATCAGGGGTTATCATCTTACACCAGTGAGAACAGCACACATTAAAAAAACTAGCAAGGGGAAAACAGGGAAGCTACATGCAAAAAAATGAAACTACCTCTCTCTATACACAAAACTCAGTTCGAAGTGGATTAAGACCTAGACATAAGAATGGAAACCATACAATCCCTGGAAGCAAAGATGGGCCAAACATTACACAACATACATTTCAGTGACATCTTTAAAGATAGAGCACCCAATGCAACAATAGTGAAGGCAAGGATAAATAGATGGGACTATATCAAGTTAAAGAGCTTCTGTACAGCAAAAGAGACATTACAAAAAACAGACATCCCACTGAATGGAAAAAAATTTTCACACAAAACTAGAGATAAAGGATTGATCACAAAAATATATGGAGAACTGATGAAACTCAACAAAAATAAACAACCCCATCAAAAAATGGGCAAAAGAACTAAAAAGACACTTCTCCAAAGAAGAAATGCAGATGGTCAAGAAGCATATGAAAAAATGTGCAACATCACTTGTAATAAGGGAGATGCAATTAAAACCACAATGAGATGGGCCCTCCCTTATGGCACAGTGTGTTAAAGCACAGCACTAAGAAGCTAAAGCCATCTCTGCAAGAATTCGATCCCCGCCTGCCCCAGAGGTGACCCACATGGTGTGGCAGACCTCTCCTGACCCGCCCACTGCTCCCCTCAGTAGTGTACTTTGTCCATCTGCCTGTTCTGCTCCCTACTCTGTCTCTGGTGAATCCTTTCACTAGTGGCCCCTGCACCTCTGTCCTGTACCCCAGTTCTGTATGCATAAATAAATCTTCAAACAAACAAAAATCTCAATGACATTCTTCACAGAAATAAAAGAAATATTGATGAACATATGGAACCACAGAAAACCTCAAATTGCCAAAGTTTTCCTGATAATAAACAAGGAGACTTGATGGAGGTATCACACTCACTCCCAGACTTCAAATACTAAAGGCCATTATAATTAAAATAGTGTGGTAATGGAACAAAAACACATAGACCAATGGAATCAAAC